GCCCTAGGTCGGTCAGAGCCAGCACGATCGCGGGGCGCCCCAAATTCAAGAGCCGCGCAACATCAGAGGCCGCCGCCGCCGCCAGCGGCCGCCACTCGGGCGCGCCGGTGGGGGGCGCGCATGCAGCGAGCTCGCACTGCCGCAGGGCCGAGCCCACATCCCTTGGCATCGGGGACGCATCCGTGCCTTCCGCTCCTCCTTCTGCCGCTGCATCCCCCGCCGCCGTCGCCGCTGCTGCATCTCCTCCCTCCACTCCACCTTCACTGCCGCCGCTTCCGGCCGCCCGCCCGCCGCCGGTTTGAGGGGCATCGAGCGGGGGCGCCAGCGCGAGCAGCTGCTCCGCAGCCTCCAAGGGGCTGTCCCCCGGCTCCCCGTCGAACCGCCGCAGGACGAAGCAGTACGCGAACAGCATCTGCGGCGCCTGGAACGCCAGCAGCGGCGACGGCGCGCGCCTCGTCAGCGAAGACAGAGGCGGCAGCGGCCGCGGGGGCCCGTCGGGCGCGCGGCGCGCCGCGGCGCCGTCAGTGTCACCCGCCGGGCCGCCGCCGTCGGCGGGTGACACCAGCCGCTGGCCGCCGGGGCCGAGCCGGAGCTCGGAAGCCTCTGGAAGCTCCCACCAGGGGCGCCAGGGCGCCAGCAGGTGGCTGAGGCGCCCCTGGGCGGCGAGGCGCTCAAAGGCGGCGGCTTCCGAGGGGGCCAGGAGGGCCGACAGGTCTGAGTCATCCAGTGAGCCCTCCAAAGCCTGGGGGTACGTTTTGGTGGATTTGGGGGGTCATTTTGGTCAACGTTGGATGCATGGTGGCTTGCTTCTCTTTGGGTTTTCGCAGCGGCTGCTTGACGGGCACCCGGCTTCCAACGAAAGCAGCGCCCCCCCTGAAGCTGCCGGCAGGCAGGACCGCTGACGTCATCGCTTCATCAGCGGGAAGCAAAGGACCACACAGCGCACAACAACGGCCGGCGCGCGGCCAGCAGGACGACCCGCAGACACGCCGCACGCGTGGCCCCGGCAGCGGGTCGGCGCCCGCCCACCGCAGCCAGCAGCCGCTTGAGGGTATCTTTCGACAGCACCGCCCCCGCCCGCGCCAACGCCGCCTCTGCTGCCGCCCTCTCTGCCGCATCCTCCTCTTCCTCTGCCTCCTCCTCCTCCGCATCCGATCCCTCTTGCCCTCCGCCGCCGCCACCGCCGCCGTTGTGCTGGCCGCCCGCACCGCGCCGCCCCCGCGCGCCGCCGGCGCCCAGCAGCAGCGCCTCCAGATCGCCCGCCAGGTCGTCCAGCTCGTCCTCGTTCAGATCACCCAGATCTGGCGCTGCCGACGACCCCGCCGCCCCGCCCATCCCACCGCCC